ACTTGGGCAAGTGCCAGGTCTAAGGAAGATGTTATCAATGGCAATGTTTCCAAGATAATTGTTACCAACCATTGCTTCCAATATCAACTGAAAAGAATAAAAGATAAAAGCTCTTTTCGCTTCTCGAGACTTTCCTTTTTGAGCATATATATTACCTGGATACTGCGTAAATGATGTTACTCTACAGTCTACACAGCTAGTATATAGAGGAGGTAGTCCAGGAGAATGTGACGCCTATAGAAACCTATTAAAGACTCGTTCTGAGACATACACACAGACGATTTACCTGTTTAGGTAGAATTTATGAAATGTAATCAGCATCATCGTGCACAAATGTTTAAGAAGCGAGAATACAAAATCGTCAAACAAATACTAAATTGTTTTGAAGAACAGGAAACATAGATCATTTCTATACATGTTTTAAGGCTGATTGATACAGGTGTTATTTAGACGTTAGACTAATGAATGCAGTTTCACTGTTGGTGAACAGGCAGCGCATTAAGCTTGACAGAAGTTAGTAAAGTTTAGGAGCTATTTTTTGGTTTAATATTATTTATATAACGTTGTTGTCTATTGTTATGTCAGTATTCTCTTTTTATTCTCTTGTAAAATAATAAACCAATTCACGTTTTAAAGTGGATAATGTAAAGGAGTTTAAAGTATTATTAACTCAAACTGAAATTTAATTATTTACCTATATACTTTAATTATTTGTTAGATTTTCAATCTTTTCTTCTTCACGTTTTACAAAAAATAATATGAAACGTTCAGGAAGTCCAGCTGTTTCTAGAGAGTTCACAAACTCACGATACAAAACGATATTGATAAATATCCAAACTAACAAATAAATATTTTCGCATTGCATGAAATATGCGAAAAGAACATGAAATTTAAAAAATAAAAGGCAAAAAAGCAATGTATTCAAAGGTGTGGAAGGAAACTTTACAAATAATAATTTAAAGGCAAACTGAACAGAATTGTACAGGTAATTTTTTTTGAACGATACTCAGAAAAATTGTAAACGATGACATGAAAAAAAAAAGAGGCAAAAAATGTAATATGAAATGATTTTAGTAGGATGAAAATGGTGATATCTAAACCGGTTTTCAGTAAAATGCAAATAGTGATAATTTAAAGTTGATTTAATGGTATGGATTAAAGAGTAGGTAGGAATATTAATGTTGATCATAATATCCACTTGAACCATGTGTGTCGCTTAAGATTAAAGTGCTCTGGTGAACAGAAGTGGAAATAATCATTGGAAGGTTTGCGAGTACAAAATATGGGATACAGAGTGAATTTTAAGCAACACTTTACCTGGAATGGTTTTGGAGACGACACTGGTACTCGAGCTTGATACCACCTATTACCGGAAGGACCACTAATCTTCCATATAACGCTCTCGTCATTGTTCCCTTGGCTACGTTTCAAAACACGCAACGTTCCAATTCCATTCCCAAACATATGCGTAGCGAATGACATACAGATAGGATTGTTATCACCTAAATGCAGGAACTTCTAGAATTATATCTTACACAAAAACTTGAGCATATAATACTTACCTATATATTAATTTAGCAAGTAGCAGTAGAGATTTGAAACAAAAATTCCATAAACATAACGTGTCTAATCTTGTTTGTAAAAGATTCACTTCATAAAATATAATAAATATTTACTCGCGTAAAATCTTGTTAAAGAAAAACTAAGGATTGGTTGAATTCTTTTTTTTTTATACTGGTTTTATCTTATTTACTAAAAACAAAGAAGTTGTAACGCTTTGATACCTAAGAAATTCCCAAACAGATATTTTTAAAATGTGGGGTATTTTGCCCATCCTAGTATTGTTGCCCCTCAGTGGCACAGCGATATTACTACGGACTTACAACGCTAGAATCCGGGTTTCGATACCCGTGGTGGGCAGAGCACCGATAGCTTAATTACAAACAAACAAACCTAGGATAGTTTTTGCTGTTGTTACTGTGTCAAATGTCCTAAAAGCAAGTAATGAATAATTTTATAAAAAAGAGTTTACAACATATATGCATATTCACTTAAATTTCGATTGAATTTTTTTTTCATTTAATTGGCAGGATCTAAAAAAATATGCTCATATTGAATAATTTAATTTATTGGTGAAGTTTTGATACTTGTATGCCGTAGGTGTCTCCATTTTTGCTCAAATCAAAATGATAATCCCATATGAAGCTAATTCTCTTTTTTAACGATAATAATAAAAGTACATAAATAAACTATTAACTGTTTATTGTGCATCATTGTGGAAACATCAAACACATTCATGACTCAGGAGATTAAATTTATTGAGTAATTTCAGGGAAGTATTTTTAGCGAACACCTTGTGGCACTGTTACGAATTATCAAGTGTCAGTGAGCCTGGCGTGGTTAGTTTGTCGGGATGCGGAACGAAATGTCCAAGATTCGGATCGCAATATGCTACTGAACACTCTCAGTCCTTCAGCTGTGGGTACGTTATGTTTGTGACAATCATTCTGCTATTCGGCTAAATGTAGCAACGTTACGACCGTAACAGTCATTCTGCTATTTGGCTAAGTACAGTGACGTTATAATTGTGACAGCTAAGTGTATCGATGCATAGCGACATTATAACTGTGACAGCTGTTACGTATCTGCTTGCTTGTTAATTTCCGGTAGAAATTATTTTCAAGGAACTTCAGCAATACAAGTCCTTTCTTGATTAAACCAGTTTATTATTTCTTGATACAAACTTTAGTACACAGAAACTCCACAATCAGTACGGTTCTCGTCACTTTAAACTTAACAACATCTATAATACACACTAAAAATCACAGCGATTCACACGTTATATTACCGTAACTACTGTTCACTTCTTTAATTATCTATCTATCGCTGGCTTCTCTGCCAGCCTTATATACTGTTACGACAACGGAGGTCACGTGACGCTAGTAACACGTCATATTCTCGAAGGTGCGTGAATGCTCGAGCGTTTACTAGATTTCGGTATTCTTGTACATATTAGACAGTCAAGACGTGACGGCAACAACGTAATGGTAATTGAACTGCGGACAGAGAGAGACATATTGTTGGAGCGAGCACGTGAGACTTTCTTTGTAAATTATAGCGTTTGTTATAGCGCGACTGTGGAAATTAAGTGTATTGCAAAGTTGTATTCAGAAAGAATAAACCAGTTTTATTTAAGAAAGGACTTGTGTCGCTAAGAAAAAAATTATACGGGAAATTAACTAACGACCAGAGAATAACAGTATTTTTCATAATTATGTAAAAACAATGCTTTACATCAGTAAACACTGATGTTTCTATGAAAAAGTCGGGAATAAAAACTACTGCTGTTTCACATTAATCGAATTAATCAGGCTATGTGATTTTTACTTGGCAGAACATTTATGCAATTTAGCCAACATGTCTTTCAACAAATACAAGGAATTACAATGGGAAGTAATTTCAGCCCACCTGTTATAGATTTATATTTATTCGAACTGGAGTTTTTATACATAACAAGTCTTAGTAAGAAAGACAGAAAGCTTTGCACATCTGTTGCGCTTGTGAATATATTGATGTTATTGTTATATCGAATTATTACGGTTTTCTTGACACAGCCGAACAAATTTAAACACCACCGGAACTCACTCTGGAAAAAATCTCGCTAAAGCCATCACATACAAATTGGATTTACACATCAACATAGTTAATTAAACATTTCAAGTTCAAAGTGTGTGTGTGTGTGTTCAGTAAAACTGACACATCCAACTCTGAAATTACAAACTCATTACCAAATACAAATATTCCAAATAAGTTATATTACAATATTTACTAGTCACAGCTTATTACATGCATTAGAATTTGTTCTATCTTTCAAGACTTCTTGGATAGAACTCGTAGATTCACTCGTATCTTATGTTAAACACAATATTTTTATTATTAATTATAGACTTAGAAGTTTTACAGAATATCAGAACATTCTCTAAACTTTACTTTCTACATGTTAGTGTACTGACTATCATTAGTTTAAAGCTTGTTAGTTTAAGCACTTAATACATATAGAATATAGTGAATAGTGTTGCGTCAGCGAGGTCACGTGACTAGTATCACGCCACCTGTTTTCTAGAAATATCCTGTTCCTTCGTGAGTGCCCTAGCATTTGCTAGATTGGGGGTGGCCTGGTATATATATAAGATGGTCACTGCGTGACGGGACAATGTGTGTAGGTAATGAGTAATTGAACTGCAGTCAGAGAGAGACGTATTGTTGAAGTCGAGCTCGTGAGACGTGAATTATAGTTTGTTATAGCGCGACTGTTGAAGTTGAGTGTATTGTAAAGTTGTATTCGGAAAGAATAAACCAGTTTTATTTAAGAAAGGACTTGTGTCGCTAAAGTTTCGTCGGAACGAAGTTACGGAAAATTAACTAACGACTGGAGACGTAACAATAGTATAGCTATATAACAGTTCCGTATATACCATATACGTCCCGGCATGGCCAGTTGGTTAGGGAACTCGACTTGCAATCTGGGAGATAACACGTTACATCATAGTTTGCGCATTACTCAACAGAGCGCATGTTGCCATAGTTCAACAAGATGGCACCAGTAGGAGGAGTGAAATCATAGTTTGATATCAGATGGCCTGTTAGTATAGGTCAATGCTGTGTGTTAGGTTCTATAGGTGGATTGTGTTACTAAGGCTAGTGTTTGTATATTGTTAGGCATATTGTGTGTATTCAACAAAAGAGGACAGTGTTACTATACTTGCATACAGATTTCAACTAATCACAAGTTATGTTTATGGTTTTAATTTGTGCAAGTAATAAAAAAACATTTTGAAAATGTAAAATGATGTAGGGATGATAGTGCCAAATAGAATGTAAACAAAAACATAGGGATGATACAGCTATACTTATACATCCCTACATCATTTTACATTTACAAAATGTTTTTTATTACTTGTTTTGTGACGTTTTATTCCCTGTATGTAGGTTAGTGTATTTTATGAATATGTGTAATAAAATTCAATATTATGTGCATAAGGTTTTTTTACTCCTTAAGTTCATACATAATATAGGGGTTGGTTCCCTAAAAGACACCAATTGCATAGTGTACAAAGCATTAAGTATTGTTACGACAGCAGAAGTCACGTGACGCTGGTGGCGTGCGTGATGAGTTTCTCGATTGATCGGGAAGTCCGAATGTGCTCGAGCTGCCCTCTTTGTTAGTATATAAGCCTGGCAGTGAAAGCCAGCATGGGAATATATAAATGAAGAAAGAGCAGTAGTTACTTTGAGTTCCATGTTATTTATGATTCTGTTAGTTTCGAGCTAATGAGCCTTAAAGTTATCGAGATTGTGAATTGCTGTGATTTATAGTTTGTATTATAAAACTTGTTAAGTTTAAAGTGACGAGAAATGTACTGATTGTGGAACTACTGTGTACTAAAAGTTTGTATCGAGGAATAATAAACTGGTTTAATCAAGAAAGGACTTGTATCGCTGGAAAATCCTCGGAGAATTTCTACCGGAAACAAGCAGACACGTAACAGTATTGTTGCGTCAGCGAGGTCACGTGACTAGTATCATGCCACCTCTTTCTAGAAATATCCTGTTCTTTCAAGAATGCCCTAGCATTTACTAGATGTGTGTTAGTCTTGTATATATAAGACATTCACAACGTGACGGGACAAGAGGGTAATGAGTAATTGAACTGCAGTCAGAGAGAATATTGTTAAGCACGTGAGAAGTTCGTTGAGAATTATAGCGTTTGTTACGGAGCGACTGTTGAAATTAAGTGTATCGTAAAGTTGTATTCGGAAAGAATAAACCAGTTTTATTTAAAAAAGAACTTGTGTTGCTAAAGTCTCGTCGGAACGAATTTACGGAAAATTAACTAACGAACGGAGACGTAACAAATTGGTGTCACAGAGTGGGACAAAAAAAATGGAAACGAGAGGCGGAAAATCAAACTACAGCTTAACAGACTTGATGGCAGCAATACAAGAGCAGCAAAAGTAACAAGACGAACGAGAAAATAAACAAGAAGAGAAATTACAGCAGTTGTTAGAGGAGAAAGAAAATAAACAAAAAGAACAAGAAAAGAAACAAAAAGAGAGACTACAGCATTTGTTGGAAGAGAAAGAAAATAAACAAGAAGAGAAATTACAGCAGTTGTTAGAGGAGAAAGAAAATAAACAAGAACGAAAAAATAAACAAGAAGAACGAGAAAAGAAACAGAAAGAGAGACTACGGCAGTTGTTGGAGGATAAAGAAAATAAACAAGAAGAACGAGAAAAGAAACAGAAAGAGAGACTACGGCAGTTGCTGGAGGATAAAGAAAATAAACAAGAAGAGAAATTACAGCAGTTGTTAGAGGAGAAAGAAAATAAACAAGAAGAACGAGAAAAGAAACAAGAAGAGAGACTGCAGTAGTGGCAACTGGAACAAGAAAGGAAACAAGAAGTACAAATGGAAAACATTAGTAAATTTAAAAGCGAATTAA